GCCCACAATTGCTTCCAGTTTCGGAACCAGCTCGTCAGCACCGGCACGGGTCGTTGGCTGCCTTTGCTGGTAGCTGCATTGAAACCCAGTTTAGGGTTGCACAAAAAAAGTTTAGGGAAGTAGAAAAAACCGCAACGTAACCATGCCAAAGCCCTAAAGCTAGAAGCGTTGAATTGCTTCCAGATTCGGAGCCAGCTCGTGAGCATCTTCACCACCAGCACCAGCAGGGGTCCTGCACAGAAAAGGTTTAGGGGACTGCAGAAAACAAGCAAAGTAACCATGCCACACTCAAAAATGCTATATCTGCTTGCTTTCAGCATCCTCTGCATGGCCAAAGAACGAGCAACAGAGCCCTTCGCAGCTTTGAAAAGTGGCGGCTTTGGTTGCCTTTGCTGGTAGCAGAATTGAAACACAGTTTAGGGTTGCACAGAAAAGGTTTTGGGGACTGCAGAAAACAAGCAAAGTAACCATGCCACACTCAAAAATGCTACATCTGCTTAGCATCAAAGGCATGAGTGTATACATATATATATATATATATATGTAGATAACAAGTATCCATGCCACATAACAAAAAACTGAAAAGTAATCATGCCGCACACACAGCTGCTCCTGGTTGGAAGGCCAAAAAGGAATCGCCGGCGGGTGGCTCCAGATTGACGGGCCTGCTGCTTTTGGGGCTCGTGCCGGTGCCTGTGGTGTTTTTGCTGCCGCTTTTGCTGCCCGGGCTGGCTTGGATGGCTCTGCTGGGGCTGCTGGCATGGTTGGTGGGACCGGTGGGGGTACTGCCGTCTTTGGTGGTTCTGGCGGGAAAGGTGCAGGTGGTGTGGCGGTGGTGGGCGGAGTGGTGGGCTGGTGGGCGGAGCGGCTTCGTGACTGGGGGTGGGACGGCTGGAGGCTTCGGGACCACGTGGGTAACATCAGGCGCAAATGTGGCCCACGTGGTCTTGCCTGGCGTCAGGGTGTGGCCCCGCAGAAGCTTTGTGGTCAGAGGGATTTCAAAAGAAACAAACGTAACCATTAACAAACCGGAAAAACAAAAAACAAGTCTATGTGCTGTCGGGCATCACAGCATAGGCATGCCCTTCCTCGAAGGGCACCCGCAGGTGCACTTTTGCACTGCTGCAGTCAGCGCCCATGTCATCTCCTTTAAAGAGATATACATTCACTGCATCAGTGTGCAGGTTGGTGCAGGACTCGACCCATCGCTGCACGTGGGCTGCTGCCGTTTTGGCAGGCAAGTTCTTGACATACAGTCTCCCTCTCCCTCTCCCTCTCCCTCTCCCTCTCGCTCTCCCTCTCCCTCTCCCTCTCGCTCTCTCTCTCTCTCCCTCTCCCTCTCCCTCTCCCTCTCTCTCTCTCTCTCTCTCTCTCTGTCTCTGTCTCTGTCTCTGTCTCTGTCTCTGTCTCTGTCTCTGTCTCTGTCTCTGTCTCTGTCTCTCTCTCTCTCTGTCTCTGTCTCTGTCTCTGTCTCTGTCTCTGTCTCTGTCTCTGTCTCTGTCTCTGTCTCTCTCGCTCGCTATCGACATTTATGTGTACGTGCATATGTTTATATTTATATCCCTGTGAAATGTAGGCTGGCGATCTGCAGCTCTGTGGGAGATCATTGCCCCTTCATGGGCAGCTGGATTTCAGCATTGCAAGCGCCGCCTTAATAACTAGCATAGGGCTTTAAGGTCCAATTAATATACTATGCTTGTGATAAGTAACCATCAAAATAGTATAGGTAATTATTCAGGTCCCCATGTTACTTGGACACGCCTTGGGGTTTAGGGTTTAGGATGGTTGAGGGCTCAGGGTGTAGGAATGCCAACATCTGAAGCTGCTCAGCCGGCAGCATCCTAGATGCTAGCCATCATACCAGTAACACGAGCCTTCAAGCGCGAATGCACCTCTACCTAGACCCCAAAAGTGGGTAAAATCATGTCCCGACACCTATACAATAAGAGGCTATTCTTCTGAATACTTTTGGGGATGGTAGGCCTGAAGTCACAGTCACCGGCTCTTGGAATTGAATATTACCGGATTCAAATTTATCGTTTCTCGGGTTCAGGCTTTGGGGTAACGGGTTCCACACTCCAAAATGCAAAGGTCCAACGATAGAAGCGTCATGCAACAACCACTATTGGCACGAAAGTGTCTCAAACATTGACAGTGGGTCCCGAAACCCTAAGCCCTAAACCGAAAACTGTTTCGAGTATATCCGCGGAAGCCTGACTCGACATCTTCGTGGCCCCAGGACTCCAAGCCAGCTCCAGGGCTCTCAAACAACCCCAGCTGCTCTAACTCTCCAGACCAGAAACGGACGCAACAAGATCACAAACGCTCAATGCTCAACCCTGCAGAGAAACCCCGAATGCTGAACCCGAGCCCACAAATTTTGCACATATGTCAAAACCAAGCACAGTGCCTCCAAATCGGGCAACTGTAGTCCAACGAGACGCACCTCCGCTAGCCCAAACACTCTGAGGGAGGCTCTGCCTAGAGGGTTTCCCCTTTTGGGCACCTAGTTTTAGGGTGCGCATCTGTTATCTCGAAACCTAGGTACCCCGAAAAAAGTTAGGGCATGACCCTCTAGGCATAGCATGGCCTTGGGGCGGGGATGCTCAACCTTCGCCTTCCCGTGCAGCCTGGACATCCCACTGAAGCTGAAGCCTTAGTATCGGGCCAGAATAAACAGAACAGGCTTGCTGGAGTAAAAATACTTTAAGTATATAACGACTGTAGGAGAACCGACATAATAATGCAAGCTAATCAGGCTTCGACACTCGTGATTCGAAACATAGAAGCCCGATCAATAATCCCACCTCTGTTGTTTCGGAATGTACTAGGGATCCTGACATTGAGAACAAAAGTGATATGGCAGGCAGCGTGCTCTGTAGAAGTAACCATGAGGCATACGATACTTCTAGCTGTCTACATCGTGGGCTCTTCGATATGATTCGTCAGCGCCAGCTCAGGATCCAAAAGCCTCCAAGCCCCAAACCTGAAACAAACTCCACAAAGCGCCCAAAACCTCAAAACACCCCAAACCTTAACGTCTAAACCCCCAAAACGCCATGTCCCCAAAGATGGGCATGCAGGTTTAACTCGGGAGGCACCTGGCCTGTGCTCCCGGATGAAGATCAGAGGACCTCCAGAAACACTCCGATTTTTGAAGGCTTCGGGGGGTCTGGTGGGCCGTTACTTGGAGGGTCGGGGGACTTAGTAAGTAGGTAGTAAGAGACTTATAAGTACCCTAAAAGGGATCCTAATTGGGGTGATGGTACTTATAACTCCGTAACATAACCAGTTACTAAGTCCCCCGACCCTCCAAGTAGGGCTTGTAGGGTTGATTTTGGGGTTTGGCGGCGCTGTGGGCTGCTGGGTCTTGCGGACCCGGGGTGTTTAGGAATCGGGGCTTGGGGTCCGGATCCGTGGCTGGTGTGGATCATCCCTCACCCCACACCCTTTATAAACCCTAAACCCTTTGTAAACCCTAAACCTTTTATAAACCCTAAATCCTGGTTTTTACGAGGGGAAGCAAGTCCGTATCATTGAAAACAGCGAGAGACCCCGAAGTAGTTGCATCTTCATGCCGCGGCTGGTCAGCCCGCAAAGCGCACTAAGTTAAAACTACATACTAATACACAATACCAAGCAAAACATAATTTATAACGTGTAACTTGAAATAAACCAACATAAATTGGGGGGTTCCCCAAACACGTTCTCTAAACTCAGTGTTTTGGGCTACAAGTCCACGATTTACCACAGTTGGGGGCCTGTGTTTCCACAGTTCCCGGCCTCGTGTTCCACAGTTCCCGGCCTTGTGTTTCCACAGTCCCGGGCCTTTGTTTCCACACTTCCGGGCTTGCTTTTCCACAGTGCGGGGCCTGTGTTTCCACAGTTCTTGCTCTCGTTTATCCAGAGATCCGGGCCTGTGTTTCCACACGTACGGGCTTGTCTTTTTTGTTTTTTCTCCAACGTTGTGGAAACTCGGCCGGTGTTTGCGGAAACTGGTGTGGAAACTCGCCCGGTGTTAGGTGTGGAAACTTGACCGTGGAACGTGTGTGAAACGTGGGAACTCTAAAGTAATAAGCGCTTCGGGGCTTGTTTGCACAAAGTTTTCGCAGAGAATCCGCAAAGTTTCCGCGGAATTTCCGCAGTGCGCCTGCGGTGTTTGCGCAGACTTTCCACAGTGGTTCCCGCAAAGTTTCCGCTGATATATGATACATGTGGGCTATGTGGGAGAGTAGAGTAAATCAGTAAATCGGCTGCGTTCGGCCTCACACGGCGTGGAAACTCTGTTTGTCTTGGCCCAAAGACATGTGGAAACATCGTTGTGTTCGGACCCAAATGGTGTGGAAACTCTACGTTTTCTTGGCCAAAAACATGTGGAAACACTCCTGTGTTCGGCCCCAAACAATGTGGAAACTCTGTCTTTCTTGGCCCGAAAACATGTGGAAACACTGCTGTGTTCGGCCCCAAACAGTGTGGAAACTCTGTCTTTCTTGGTCACAAAACATGTGGAAACACTGCTGTGTTCGGCCCCAAACAGGGTGTTTGGGGAACCCCCCAAAACATAAACCAAGACATGAATAACATGCAGAATAAGTACATAAATATTTATGTGAATATATATATATATATACATATGTATATAAATAAATAAATGAATATATATATATATATATATACATGTGTGTATCTGTATCTGTATAATGACCCCAGGCGCCGAAAACATTGAACTGACTGACTGTCAGCAACTTGACCGGGCCAACTTTCGGCCGGTTGTGTTTTTGGACTGTGTCTGTAAGCACTATCTGAAGGTTCATGGGTAGCTGCACGGTCATGGACCATGGTCGTTTCTGAACATGCCGTGCGAAATGCCCCCGCTCTCTCCGAATCTGAGCAAGCTCATCCAAAGTTTGCAAGCAGCATGGTCTTGCAAGTTCAGTTGGCTCAATCTGCATTGGGTCGGAAAGGTTTGTGCAACTGAAAGTCTATGGTGTTTATTGAGGTTATAGGCACGGTCGATTGCTGGGGACACATCCGGGACACCGAAGCCCGAAACGCTGATCCGATATGCTTCCACCACCGACTTTTTGATCAGCAGGACGAAGCGCGAAGATCTTGACATCAAGCACTCCTTTCCTCGGCTGCCGGTGGCTTGCAATTCAAACACAGGTGCTGAGCTCGAAATTCAACATCGATACCTCCAACGAAAGCCACAATTCATGGAGACTGCTTACCAGGACCAACAGCATTTAGACCTCGCAGTAGCACGCCTTGGGATTGCTGCATCCGCAACTTAGAAGACCCTGTGCCCGTCTCCCAGCAGGATCCTTTAGGCCCTAAACCCTGAAGCCTAATCTCCACAATCTCTAAACCCTCATCAATCTGCCATGAACCCTACCCTAAAATCCACAAACCCTAAAATCTAAGCCTATAAACCTTAAACCCTGAACTTCCCAAACCAGGCCGCCAAGTCGCGGCCAGTCCGTCTGCCTCATCTCTAGCTCGATGCGCAAGCCTCCAGCCGGTCGCTGGGCCCTAAACCCCTAAAGATGCTTAGGGTTTACCCAGAGGCTCCATAGTAGTTCCTTTTTAGGGTTCATATTTAGAATCCTATAAGGTATCCCCAAAAAGGAACTACTTTGGAGCCTCTGGGTTAAGCCCCTAAATCCCCAAACCCCTTAACCCGTAAAGCCCTAAATCCTTGAAGCCATCAAGCCCTGAAATTTAAATTTCTAAATATGTTAAAGTTTTTTGTGATCGCGAAATTTTAATGTCCATAGATCCACTTCGAAATATCGTGGAGTAGTGTCGATTAGTGTTTGGAGGGAGTCTGCTAATATTACTGGTAATTACTTGACCCATAGCTTCTGAAGGAGCACCTGCTTCTGCAAAGAGGCGCTTGTACATGCGCTCGGTACGCGCAATGCTGTGATCCTGAGCTGCAGACTCAGGAAGTCTGGGAAAACGAATCTCGAAGCAACCCCCAAATGTCGATAAGGCAGTACGCAGCAGGATGGCAACATAAGCTCAAAACACTGACGGGTCTGCTAGGATTGTAGCTGACGAAGTGCTCTTGCAGCATCCTCTACCCCGAACCTGGAATCTAGCACTCACAAGCTCTCCGACGAGCCGGATAAAGCACCCTTATTTTGAAGAATCCTGTAGAACACGCATAGTCTGTGCGGAGTGTCCTTCTACAAGACAAATGTCGGCTGCCGGTATTGCTCATCGTAAACCCTAAACCCTAAACCCTGAACCCAATCAAAGCTCGATGCGAACCAAAACCCTAAACCCTAACCCCCCCTAAACCCCTGAACCCTAAACCCTAAACCCTGAAGGAGTATTCTGACATGTGGCACGACCCCGTCCAAAAGCAGATCCAAAGCCCGAAGAGGTCCCAAGCTGCGTCTCAGGAATTTATATGCTGTAGTAGATAGACTGTAGGTGTGTGTATATATGTACACATTGATATGTTTTCATATTGTCCAGATGTCTATGCACGCATGTGTGAGTGTTTTTGTTGCCTGCATGGGGATATGCAGCAAATCGTATGGTTTCTGGACTTCAGGTCAAAATCACATATCACTCTAACTGCCGCCGAAGCTGCCTGCAGATCTGCCAACTGAGCGGAAGCCAGATGAAGGTTTGGTTTTCGGGATCCCGGCGTTTAGGGCAACGACTAAAGAACTGAACTCGGTAGTGCGACCCCAGACATGCTATGCTCGACTTTTGAATTGAGCCCCAGCTCCAAGCACGATTCACGGATTCAACGTTGGGCAATGAAGTCGCTGGGGATTTGTTGATCGAATCTGGAATATCAGAAAGGCCATGATTTTCGAAGAGCATCGAAACAACCTTGTTTGTCTCCGAGCTGCTGGCTCTTTATGTTAATCTTCGTCCAGGTCCTGCTGCTCAACTTGCTGTTGCTATTCAGCCGCCTCTCAGGGAGCACCGTCGTCATCATCAGCGTCATCATCGCCATCACAGTACTTTGCAGCGACATCGACAATGACGGCGACATCTACATCAACATCATCAACGGCCCCAATCCCCCAAAGTCGCACGATGCAGTTCCCTGCTGTGTGCGATCTTCGCAGAAGGCAGACTTCGGCTCCATGTCGGCATCATTACATGGGCGGTTGTCAAAATTAGGGTCCCTTTTTGGGTACCCTAGTATAATACGGCACCTAGTATTTAGGGTACCCCCAAAAAGGACCATAATTTTGACAACCACCCACATGGGTTGACAAGCCCCTCTCAAAAGAACAAGGAGCTCAGAGAAGTCAGCACTTCGGAAAGCCCCTCCCCTGAAATCTGGAAGCTACGACCCCTGAGCCTTTCGAAAACTGAAGTGACTGCCACCTGGGTGGTTGTCAATATTATGGTCCCTTTTGGAGTCTTTATTATAATACGGCACCTTGTATTTAGGGTACCCAAAAAGGGATCATAGTTTTGACAACTAGCCACCTGGAGGAACTGAAGAAGCCGAGATGCCCAGCCGCTTCTCGGAGCCAGGTTGTCTTTGACGCAGATGACTCCCTTGCACAAATGTCCCAAGGAGTCCAAGTAATTGTGTATATTTTGCGGGCCCAAATGTCTTTCAAGTGGCTACTGTATTGGTACGTGGACGCTTTGGATATGCTGTCCGTTCGTGTTACTGCAAGGAACCACGACAACGGAAGCAAAACCTGCCGCGGCATGAAACATAAAATCTACAGGAGCACACACCAAAAATAGGGGCCTTAATAATTAAGATAGGGTTTTGGGGTACATTATACTATAATCATAAACAGGAACACCCCCACAAAAGCATTGGTAATTATTTAGGCCCCTAGTGTCTGTGCCTCCTTCTCCACACTGGTCATCGTCCGAGCAGAATTGTACAAGCTTGCACGCACATCTACGACCACGATTAGTACTGCTGCTGCTCCTGATGCTGTGACTTCTATTCCGACTCCTGGTCCCTCCCTTGCTGCCACTGGTACTCCTACTCCCACTCCCTGCTGCGGCAACTGCACTTCTGCAGCAGCAGCTGCTGCCGCCCAAAGCTACTTCGGCACCTGCTGCTGCTGGTGCTGCTACAACGACTCTGACTCTCGTTTTGTTTGCCCTTAGGCAATGACTCTGACTCTCATTTTACTTACCCGTGGGTTCAGATTGCCAGCGAAAGACAGGAACCACATGCTAGACTGCAAACCGCAGAATTTCGCACCGCGACCGCACAGCCCACAGCATCCGTAAGGTTCAGGTTTTATGCTTGCCGCCAAGTCGAGCGAGCTTGTGCAGCCGTTCGCATCTTCCAGTGTTCCGGGTTTGACACGGTATCCCGCAGGCCTCCACGGAACGACATGATCGAAATCGACATTTGCGGCACCTGTACCCGACGTCCTATAGCACAACACCTGACGCATGACATGACTGACGTTTCCGACCGAACGCTAAACCCCGAACGGGAAACCCTGCACCCTGAACTGCAAACCCTAACCCCCAAAATGCAGGCCCTAAACCCAGAACCCTAAACTGCCCTACTCAGAGGCTCCATAGTAGTTCCTTTTTAGGGTTCATATTTAGAATCCTGTAAGGTATCCCCAGCAAGGAACTACTTTGGAGCCTCTGGGTAGACGCCTGAGCCCTAAACCCTTTAGCCGTTCCGTGCCTTAGGTCGGAGGCAATCTCGGCACCTTTCCAGAGCAACGAAGGGCTTCGTGCTGAAAGGTTTAGGGCTCGGGGTTTTGTTGGCTTTGTGGCTGCTGGTGATGAGGGAACACGCTGTAGGGTTCTGGAAAGATGGTTTTGGGTTTAGGTTTAGGCGTAAACTTCTTCCGGCTATGTGCAGAAATCTGGTCAATTCGAGGCTTTTGGAGATGCAGTGTAGGAGAGGACTTACACCGTCGTCTTATAGTCTACATCAAAAAGACAGGACGACCGCAACAGACCGCGTAGCCAATGATGCAGTCGCCGAAGTTGCCGAAGTTGTGATTCTTCAAGTGGAGAGGTTGTCGCTGTTGCTAGCTGCTAGTGATTGGGACGATGATGATGATGCGATCACACATCCTGGCGGCTCTGGTGTAAAGTCTTCCTGAGAGTATAGAAAAAATCGAAACCTACTATGAGACAACACCAAACAGCAGCGACAAGTATGGAAAAGTCGGCATACTAGCAACCAAATCGAGGCAGAGTGAAACTGAAACTGTCTCATACCCCAAACCTGCAAGCGGCTGAGCACCTTGATAAAAGGCCCACGAAGTCTTTGTCCGTGAGGTGAAGAAGCACCCACTGCAGCCAAATCACCTGAGCTCGCTGCTCTGACTGCAGGGAAGCCCTGCCCCATCTGATCTGGGAGTTAGGGTTCCTTTAAAAGGCTACTATACTACAAGGGTTCTACAAAGGGGGTTAGGGTTTAGGGTTTAGAGTTTTCGAAAATTGGGGGTACCTTGTTCTGGGTCCTTATAGTAAGGATCCTACTATTGAGGGTACTATATTAGGGTCCCCCTATTGTCGGAAACTCCCATCTGGGAGACCCTGAAACACCCGTACACGCACCTGGAATCGCAAACTTGAAACCTTGAATCCCGAAACCAGAGCCAAGCCTTGCAAGACCCTCTGACTCAAGTCAATGTAAGCCTGAATGCAACCAAGCTAAGTACTACAACCCGGGAATTTGGACCTCCCACTATCCAGTACAATCATTACTCAACCTTTACGGTCATGACCAACATTTTGGAACTATGTGAATTGCTACCACTACGGCGGCCACTATTCCTTCTGCTGCGGCTAACGCTACTCTTTGCTGTTTTCCTGCTGCTATGCCTATGTGTACTTCTATTTCTGCTCCTCTCCTCCTCCTAGACTACTCCTACTGCTCCCACTACACCTCATACCTCCACCTCCTACTACTCCTACTCCTGCTCCTACTCTTGCTCCTGTTCCTACGCCTACTCTGACTCCTTCTTCTTCTACTACTCCTACCCCCTACCCCTACCCCTACCCCTACCCCTACCCCTACCCCTACCCCCCTACCCCGCCCACGCCTACTCCTACTCCTACTCCTACTCCTACTCCTACTCCTCCTCCTGCTCCTACTCCTACTCCTACTCCTACTCCTACTCCTACTCCTACTCCTACTCCTACTCCTACTCCTACTCCTCCTCCTCCTACTCCTACTCCTACTCCTACTCCTACTCCTACTCCTACTCCTACTCCTACTCCTACTCCTACTCCTACTCCTACTCCTACCCCTACTCCTACTCCTACTCCTACTCCTACTCCTACTCCTACTCCTACTCCTACTCCTACTCCTACTCCTCCTCCTCCTCCTCCCCCTACTCCTCCTACTCCTACTCCTACTCCTACTCCTACTCCTACTCCTACTCCGACTCCGACTCCTACTCCCACTACCACTACCACTACCACTACCACTACCACTACCACTACCACTACCACTACCACTACCACTACCACTACTACTACTACTACTACTACTACTACTACTACTACTACTACTACTACTACTACTACTACTACTACTACTACTACTACTACTACTACTACTACTACTACTACTACTACTACTACTACTACTACTACTACTACTACTACTAGACTACTACTACTACTACTACTACTACTACTACTACTACTACTACTACTACTACTACTACTACTACTACTACTACTACTACTACTACCTACTACGCTAGGCTACTCTGCTCCTGCTCCTACTACTACTACTACTACTGCTACTACTACTACTACTACTACTACTACTACTACTACTACTACTACTACTACTACTACTACTACTACTACTACTACTACTACTACTACTACTACTACTACTACTACTACTAGGTGCTACTGCTACTACTACAAGATGACGACGGACATCATATCTTGAAGTTGCCACACCCAGTGTGGCTTCATGCTCTCATTTGACCCGCTTTTCTCGTCGACTTATAACTTGTAACCACTTCTAGTTTTAAACCCTGAACCCAAATCCAAAACCTTGCATAAAGGATCCCGCCTACAAAATCCCAAACCCTGAACCCGGAATATCAATATTCTGTACTATAAAACCCTTAATAAGTAGAATACGGTTTTGATGGTTAAAATAAGGAACTCCCGCAATAGTATAGGTACTTATTTAGGCCCCTATATTCATTAAGAAACCCTGGGCCGATAATTAAACCCAAAATAGTAGGGAAATAAAGGCCCAAGGTTTCTTAATCAGGTTCCTGCATTGCTCCTTTTCGTGTGTGAGCCGGGCTGCACTGTAGCGCCCACGGGGGGGATCCCAGTCTTGCAGCGGCTGGCTCAGAAAGCCTGAGCTGGGATGTAGTTTTAAAGCTCTTTAAAGCAGCATTTATTTATGAATAGGTACCTCTATAAGACTGGCTTGTAGTTTTGAGGCCCCTTCAAAGTGTTTATGAATAGGCACTTCTATAAGACTGGGTTGTAGCTTTAAGCCCCTGCACTCGTTTTTTTTTTAACATTTTGCGTTTGTACGTGTGGGCATCATTTAAAAGGACCTTACGGCTTTGAGGCAAATTGGGTGGTTGTCAATAGTTGTCAATATTAGGGTCCCTTTTGGGCCCTTATTATAATACGGCGCCTCATGTTTAAGGTACTCCAAAAAGGGACCATAATTTTGACAACCACCCAATTGAAGGTTTGGAGCTTGGGCTGAGGGCTTGCAGGGTGAAGGTCTTGGGCTGGGGGCTTGAGGGTGTTTTCGGGGGAGCTTTAAAGTCTGGGGGTCTTTTTTGTTTTTTGAAGTGCCCTAAACCCTAAACCCTAAGCCCTAAACCCCACACCCTAAGCCCTAAACCCTAAACCCGAAGCCCTAAACCCTAAGCCCTAAACCCTAAACCCTAAGTCTGGGGGTCTGGAGCTTGTGCAGTTTCGGTAGGGATCTTTTGTTAGGGCGGGTGTTCGAGATGATTTTTTTCGGCCCTGAGCTTCGGCCCTGGAGGCTTTCAATGCTTGGCTTCAGGTTTAGGGTTTAGGTTTTAGGGTATTTAGGGTTGGATTTAGGGTTTAAGGTTTAGGGCTTCGGGTATTTCGGGTTTGATTTAGGGTTTAGGGTATAGAATGGGGCTTCAGTGCAAGGGCAGTGCGAATTTTTGGGGTGCTGGCGTTTAGTGTTCTCGGGTCTCGCGGGGTCGAGAGGATGAACCCCTAACAGGGACTTCAACTACAGGCCCTTGCTACGATGTGTCGGCCAGGAGGGCCGGCTTACAACACAGTCGGCAATAGCGCGCGTGGCTGCTGTTCTTGATGCGTTCAATTGTGTCAACTTTTTTTGAGGGGGAGGGGGGGGGGGCCATCTCGGATCTCTGCAGAATTCTGACGATAAACGTGCCGCATTCGCTTCAGGGTTTCAGGCCTTGGATGGCAGGAGCATTCCGGACAAGGGTCATTTTGTTTCATGTGCATGGCAGACCCTTGACCCGGCTTATGAAATCTGTGAGCTTGAGGTGCAAGCCGGAGCTTGGGGTTATGACGTACACACTCCTGCAGTATCCATAGTGAGAACTATGTCCATTACTCAGCTGGTTAGGATGCGCTTTAATATAGGAGTCGATGTTGTGCATCAACATTACACCCTGATTGAAAACGATCCTGGGTCCTCCGGAATATCGATGAAACAACTGATTGCACATACAGACAAAAGCCTGTATACAAGGCCCAAACCTTGAACTGTAAACTGTATATCCTGCCTTCAGATTCAGAGACATACCCTCCCCCTATAGTATACAACCCAACTATTTTGCAGAACCTAAAGCTTGCAAATCACGAATACGTGACCCCTGACCCGCCCTCGCCCCTAAGCCCCAGCCCTAAATCCCAACGCACTCCGCCAAAGGGCGAACGTTCTGCCGGCCCTTCAGGCGTTTCATCGCTTCTGCAAGCAAAGGCTTGCAGGGCTCCTCGGGATTTACTATAGGGGCCTCATTGATTAGCAGTGCGTACGAAATCGGCCTGGGGTTTCCTTTTGGTGGCTCATGATACTATGAGAATAATGATAAGACGGAGCGCCCAAAAAGTATTGGTAAGTAAAGCTGATGATCTAAATCCTGCATTACCCATAGTTTGGGGTCCTTAAGGTAATGCAGGATTTATATCGTATTTAGGCCGCTACAGTACTGGCATTTCCCTTTTCAGGGGAGATCTTTCTGCTGTAAGCTTATAAGGATCCTTTTGGCTCGGGTTTCCGGGGTTCCTTTTAAGGGCAGTATAGGGTTCTATCCTAGAGTATGTTCCCTGTATCTAAGGCTAAGGGTTCCTTTAATAAGGGTCCTATATAAAGTTTTTTTCTGTGCGGGGGTGAGATCTGGGCAAGGGTTTGGCTTTTGGCATTCGGTGCTTTTGGAAGACTGCCGGGCGTGGTGCAGGACCTCTGGGGTGTATAGGTTAGAAGGGCCCCCCACCCTGTAATAGTGGCATAGTAGGAATATAATACGGCCCTAATATAGTCCATAGTCACTATTACAGGGTGGGGGCAGCTTCTAATGTATAGGGCCTAGGGTGTGGTGTAGGTTCTCGACAACATTTCCCCAAGTAAAAAGTGTCAACAGAGCATTGGTTGGTTTCGGTTTTGATAGGGTAGGTATTTGCCCAATCCCCACCACGTTTAGGGGTAAAAGCAAATGCTGCCGACAAGAACGGTTCTTGTCTCTTCGAATGTGTAGGCGTCTCTTTTTTCGTATGAAGTGTATAGCTGTCCGCCTCAAAAAACCTAACCTAAACCCCATAACCCCTAAACTTTTGAAAATTGGGGCCTGGAGGGCGCTGGCCCGGCCCACTGCAGCAGAGTGGCAACCAAATCCAGGTTTTCGAAGCTGCCCAGTAGCAGTGCCTCTGTCACCTCAGCGGACGTACATATGGTTAGTAGGGAATGGAAGAATGGTAGTAATAGTAGTTATAATTGTACCCCATTCCTCCATTCCGTACTAGCCAAAGGTAAGCGGACAGAAGGACTAGAGTAAGGAGGACCCTAATATAGTACCTAAATAGGAGGATCCTTATTATAAGGACTCTTAGATAAGGTACCCCTATTTTCGAAAACTCCCATATCGTGTTGGGGACAGAGGAGCCCCGACTGGTCGAGATTGGGGCAAAGAGGGTGTCTTGGGCGCAGCTGAGCAGATGAGCCCAGAGCCTCCAAAACCCCTTAATTAAGGAATATACCTTAACTTATAATAGGACCCCTAATATGATTTTAAGGTATATCCCTTAATTAAGGGTTTTGGAGGATCTGGGAGGTGGGTTTCAAGTTTCAGGGAGTTTTCTTGCGCCCTTGGTTGGCAAGGCTGCGAATCCGTCCTTTGTCAGAGTACAAACCCTGGAATGGCTACAGCACGAACTAATTGAGTATTTTAGGATATACGTCAGTTGTTGGGCCGAGGCACTGCACGATGGAGGCCGCAAAGCTGACTTACACTGATGCGCTACTACAGGAGCCTTGATAATTAGAATAAGGTTTTGGGGACCATTATACTATAGTTATGATAGCGGAACCCGCCCAAAATAGTATTGGTAATTTAGGCCCCTATAGTTGTGTTTACAACCTAGGGCACACCCACATAGGGTATCTTTACCTCAGAGACATGGAGACTCGTCACGTCATCACTACCAGCCGTAGTAGCCCAGAGAGCCCAATACCCCTTAATTAAGGAATATAGCTTAAATCATATTAGGGATCCTACTATAATTTAAGGTATATTCCTTAATTAAGGGGTTTTGGAGTCTCTGGGTAGTAGCTCTTCAGCACTCTCTTGACGATGCACGGGATTGAGGCTTGGAAAAGCTTTCGGCTGCAGCAGCTCGTCGCTGAATTGGTCATCCAAGCAGCTCGCCCAACTCCTGTCCATAAGGCTCTTACCAGAGGATTTGTAGATGGTCTCATAAAGGTGTTATCAGATTTTTGTTATTGTTTCATAAATGCTTCAGCAGAGGTTTTCTGAGTGGTTTTATAACGGCGTTAGCCAGGTTGTACAAAGGTTAAAGGTTGTTCTGGAGCGTGTTTTCGGAGTTTCTCCAACATCTGGACTTGGGGTGCAGCCATCCTGCCAATCCTGGTTTCATCTCGAGCCTCTGCATCTCGAAACCACTGACCCCGAACCCCCAAACCACAACAGGAATCCAGGGGCCCTAATAATTAGAATAGGGTAGGGATGTTTAAAGTTGAGGGTCCAATAAATACTGTAACTTGATGATCCCCCAAAATAGTATTGGTAATTATCTACGCCCCTACAATAAGCCTTCCAGGTCAGAACCTTTAGACTTTAGACCTTAACCCGTAAACCCTAAACCCTGAACCTTAGGGGGCTTTCAGATCCCGGAGCTCTGGATGAAAGCTGTCAACTGCAGTGGAGTCTATAGAAGGGCTTGCGACTACTTGTGCGGTCAGCTACAGTAGTAGCAAGAGACATCACTGTTCCCAGTTGTGTACGATTATATATAAATATAAACATAAACATAAATATAAATATAAATATAACTATAAACATAAACATAAATATAAATATAAATATAACTATAAATGTAAATGTAAATATAAATATAAATATAAGTATATATATATATATATCTATCTGTGGTGTGATATACGTATATACGTTTGGAGGTATCTGAAGAGAATGAAAATGTCTCAGCCCCAACAGTCGAAGCCAGAAAGTTGGGAACATTGTCATCCTCATGCCCTTTCATACGGATCCTTAGGGGTGTAGGGGGAGGGGGGGTAGGGGGCCTTAAGGCCCATAATAAGGACTAATAAGGCCTATTTAAGGAAATATAGTCCCCTACACCCCTCCCCCCTACACCCCTAAGGATCCCTATGACCCTTGGGACCGAACATGCCGTGAATCCCACCACCGACAACCCTTCGTCCATGTTCCGACTTTCTAGAGGTTACTGAAAACCCTGCCGTAATCCTAAACCCTTAAAACCACCCAAGCCTCAACCCTAAAGCCTTGAAACCCTGGAAAGCTTCAAAACCCTAAACCCTGAATGCCCCGAAACACTAAAAGCATAAACCCTAAGCCCTAAACCCCAAAGCCCTTAACCTAACAGCAGAAAAAGGGAAAACCCGAGACGCCTGCTCCACAGTCCACGACGTGGTCGAAAGCAGGGGGCGTCTGCAGCCGACGGAGTGCCTGATTCAATCAAGCCATGTGGCATTTGTAAGTAGGATTTGATTAGGGGTTTAGGGTTTAGGGCCGGTTTAGGGTTTAGGGTACCCTAAACCCGACACCCTAAACCCTAGATCTACATAAGGGCTCCAGGATTTCTGGCCTTTTAGGGTTTGGGATGTGGCTTGTGCTTCTCTTCGGGCCTGTGGAATAAGGGACGCCTCACCTTCTGCTGGTGTTCTGTTTAAAGGGGTAAACGGTTTTCGGTTTACAGGGAACTCCAGAAAGTTGGAATATGGTTTCATGGTAGGATACCCTATAATTTACCATAGAAGGGTTAGGATAATCATATTCCAACTTTCTGGCTTCTACCTTAGGGTTACAAGCATGTGGTCAATTCTACAGCTGAGGCGTGTGTTCCTTGCACCCACAACCTCGTCGTTAGCGCATGGAGGAGTGTTGTGGGGTCAAAGGTGTGTGGCTTCGTGGTCTGGGCTGCTTATGTCTCGGGTGCCGGGACTAGAGTGACTAGAGTTGACTGAAGAACACCTTTCCAAGGGAGGCCACGCGCTCAATGATTGAAGGATTGTGCGGCCCAGCACAAATTGACGCAAAAGAAGGGTGACACGACAGGAGCTTTGGAATAGCCTGTCTTTCGTGTTCTCCATCCGCAAACCCCTTCCAGAACTGCAGACCCGTTGCCAGAACAAGCATAGCCTAAGGTTCGGGCATAAGTAGGGTATTTCTGAACAGAGTTTGCTCTCATCGCTTGTGTCGGTTCGCACCTCAAAGAATTCTGGTGTCCAAGCGCCTCCACATCACGACATGAAGAACGCAAGATGCACCGGGGAAAAGACACCCTACACAGTGTCGCAATGTCTATTTTTTGCAAGCTGCCTGCATGCCATTACTATGAACAATTTGGATGTCTTGTGCCCAGAACACTGCAAGGTACACGTACCACCTAAGGCCTCTCAGCTAGCCTCAAGTTCGCCTTGCTTCCCTAGCGGAAGTTGGTAAAAGGGGCCTTCATAATAAGAAGAAGACGGTTTCTCAGGCTTCTACATTACACCCTGACCCGAAACCCTGAAACCCTAAGCCCTAAACCCTAAACCGCAAACTCTGAACCCTAAACCGTAAGCACCCTGGTCCTGGCCTCAAGGAAGCGCCGGGAGGTTGCCAAATCAGGCTCATGCGTCTCCGACAGACCACCTGTGACTCTGGGGGTTTCAAGCGCTTCGGGTTCGAAGCCAGAAAGTTGACTATCCTCGTGCCCTGAAGGTAAAGTAGAGGGAATCCTAGCACGAATCATCCTAAATCCATGTTCCAACTTTCTGGGGTTCACTATCGGGATCTTTAAGGTAAGGGTCCTAGTCATTAAGGGTCTATTGGAGCGCGATCAGTCGTAGTATATAGTTTGATTAGGGAACACTTCTAGACACAGCCAAAGGCTGCGTCCAAGTTGTAAATATGGGACCCATGTGCGTGTTTTCGAAACGCTTGCATACCTTCTTTTCTGTTACACTAAACCGTGCAAACTACCCATAGGCCCCAAAGTAGTTCCTTTTTGGGATTACCCTATAGGATTCTAAGTATGAACCCCAAAAAAGAACTACTTTAGGGCCTTTGGGTAAACATTTCTGTCTTTGTTTTAAGGCACCTTTTCTGATGTGAGCTGGGAAGTCCCGAGTTGGGTGGGCAAGGTCCGTTTACTGATACCAAATACGGGAGTTTCCGAAAATGAAGGTTAGGGTTCCTTTAAAGGGCTACTATAAGGGTACTATAGGGGTTCTATAAAGGGGGTTTGGGTTTAGGGTTTAGAGTTTCCGAAAATTAAAGCTACTTTTTTTTTTTTTTTTGGGGGGGGGTGGTCCCTATCAAGGGTCCTACTATCTAGGGTACTAGATTAGGGTCCCCTATTTTTCGGAAACTCCCATACTACTATTGAAGGACCTTTGAGGATCTCGCCCCTCGGGTTCGGGGTTTAGGGTTTAGGGTTCGGTTAAGGGTTTAGGGTTTGGGGTTCGGTTAAGGGTTTAGGGTTTAGGGTTCGGTTAAGGGTTTAGGGTTTATAGTGTTTAGAAGCGATAGCGGAGGGTGCACCAAAGCGTTCGAAGAACCGATGATATCAGGAGAAATACATCTGACATTGAAGCAAGCGTGCATGGTGTGAATATGTAGGGCTGCGCACCTCTTATGTCTCAGCTGCCATGATGCTACCTGCTATCCTACTGGTAGCACTCAGTTTAGACCAATATCTAGAGACCTCCATCGTTCTCCATCTACAGTTTGGACCCTGTTAACTCTAGTGCCAAATCCTTCAGCGGAGCTTCTATGGTTCCATGCGTCTATCTTTTGAAGACGTGATTGTTTGGCATTCCAGATTTCCTTTTTCCTACAACCGGAATCACGACCATAATGCCGAGCAGCTGCACGACGATCGCGATGCCGACTGCACGCACTTCATGATTGGCACTTTTGTTTTGCTGCCGCCGATACTGCTGCTATTGCTTGCAAGTCTCCTTTTCATTCCTTGAAAGAAACCATATGGCAACAACAATAGCAAACAGACCAAAAGCAGAGGGTGTCACCGGGTGTAGGAGCTCTGAAATATTGAGAATGATACCCATGTCCACTGCATCGCAATACCCTAAACCCTAAACCCAAAGCGGCCTAACCCCTAAAGCCCAATCTCAGAAGACCAAGCCGAAAACCTAACACCTTAAACCGGAGCCACCTAGGACACCATCGTTGCTCGGCTCCTCGTTGGACCAGTATGTGGCGACCTCCACCCAAGCATTTTCTTGTGGGGACGATTGTGGAGGGATAGGGTATCTGCAAGCAGAGATCTATATTGACAGAGACGCCACCCCCTTCGTACCCTAAACCTCTAAACGTTTAATTTAATAGACCCCTAGATCCCAAATCCCCTCAAACAGTAAATCCTAAACCCTAAGCGCCGGGGCCTTTCCGTACCAGTGCTCTTCCACGGAGTTCCAGAAAGTCGAAATATCCGAATACCGCCGGCCATTGTCATCGAAGCCGGGCTCCTGACTGTTTACTTGGAGGGTCGGAGGACTTAGCGAGTAGTTCGTGTATAGAGTAAACTAGACCCCAAACCCCAAGTCCAAAACCTCCAACCCCAAACCCTACACCCCGAAACACTGAACCATAAAGCCCAAACCCCAAAACCAAAGCCTCAAACCCTAGCTGTGACCCAAACGACCTGCCCTTTTAAGGCAATAGTCACCATATATCGAAACTATAATAGGGAACCCTAAGAATAAGTCTTTTCGGCTGGAGGTCGTGTCCTTGGCTCTAAACCCTAAAACCCCCAAACCCTATATACTATATAACTCTTAAACCCTCATTGGGAGTTTCCGAACACAGGGGACCCTGATATAGTACCCTAAATAGTAGGATCCCTATTATAAGGACCCTAAAATAAGGTACCCCGAATTTTCGGAAACTCTAAACCCTAAACCCAAACCCCCCTTATAGAACCCTTATAGTACCCCTATAGTAGCCCTTTAAAGGAAACTCCCCAATCCCCACCTGCAACCCCTGGTGTCCTTGGCGCCAGGTCTCTTACGTGCACTTGGCTTCTTCGCCGGCCTAGGTGGACGCAGCAGCGGTGCAGGGGTCAGACTGGTGAATCTAAGTCTGTAGAAAACCATGGGGACCCTTAGGCAGGGGGAGGGGACTATACTTTCATAGGCCCTCCTGATCCTTATTATGGGTACTAAGGCCCCCTACCGCCCTATACCCCATACCCCACTAAGGGCCTCTATAAGAAAATCATACATGCTGTATCTTGGAGCTACTATCCACGCACCCATCATCTCGTCGCTTCAGACGTTTAGTGTAGGTAGTCTCTGCGGAAACCCTGGAAGCCTTGGCAAGGCCGGTGCATCTGGTGGTGGGAGGGGGGGGGGGGGGCAAGGGCCAACGCAAAGGGTTTAGGGTCTAGGGTTTGCTGCATGACCAAATAATCAACGGCTGTATGATACTGCCCCCCTGCCTTTGTGATTGCCACTGCTGGCTCGCCGCAGAGCTCAAGAATCCCCACCTGCCCACCTGCCGTCGATAGCCTCCGGCCTTGCAGAACGAAGAGCTACAGAGCTCAATAAACACTCTACCGGAAACCGGCGAAGTCCAGTAGTCTCAATCAACCCTTAAATAGAATGCCAAGCCCTAACCCTGAAAAATCATGAGACCTGAATCTCCAACAGGCCACTCGAATATCCTGAACCCTAGACCCCGCATGCCAAACAACGAGGAGCATGCTCTGAGCATTGAACCCTAGACACTTCAGTTGATAAAACAAAGACTCCAAGTCCGTTTGACATTTTACTCACTTGTATCCCGATGAGCGTACACCCGAAACCCCTAAACCTAAACCCTAACCCCTGAACCCCAAACTCTAACTTTACACAAAACCCCAAACCCTGACTTAAACCTAAACCCCAAAGCCCTGAACAGTAAGGTTCTAACATCTCTGAGAGCCCAGCTTTCGCACGCGCCCAGACACAATCGGCTTTTTGGCGCTCGGCCGCTTCATGGCCCACAGGGCATGAGCCCTAAAACCCTAAACCCTAAAAGGGATCTTTTAAGGGTTCCTTTAAGGGATCTATAAGGGTTTCTTTAAGGATCCCTATAAGGGTTCTTCGGGGTTTGAGGTTTCGGGGTTCTTACAAGGGTGACAGAAGGGATTTGGGGTCTTAACAGAGAATTGTTGGGATTTCTTACATGGTGTTCTTGGGTTCGTTGACGTCTCTTATAAGGGTTATCATAAGGGAATTGGTTTAGGGGGTGTAGGTAACCATAATCATCGGCCGAGGTTCTTGGGCTGGTTCATAGAAAATCTTTGGCGATTGGCTTTCCTCAAGTCTACTTCTGAGGGTCTCGAGGGGTCTTTAGACGTCGAGTCAAGACTTTCAAGAAAAGATGTTGGAGAGTACATGTATGTATATATATATATATATATGTATACATATACATATATATACATATATATATATATATGTATATAGTGTGTGTGTATGTATGTATATATATATATATATATATATATATGTGTGTGTGTGTGTGCGTGCGTGTCTGCATGTCTGTATAGACGAGTCAGCATGCACTCTACGGCAGACGTAGAGCCAAAGGGCATCAGCTTCTGAAGGGGCTTGGGTCTTTACCTTCACTATTCGAACAAGAAGGGTCTATCCCGAAAGCCAGCACAAAGCGCACAAAGGCCCATAAACCCTAAACCCTATACCCTAAACCGTGGCTCTGCGGGCATCCGAACGCTCAAAGCCAAGAGCCTGGCAATTAAACACAACACATGTCCTACGGCTCCTAGGGTTTAGGGTTTAGGCCAGGATTCGTGAAGTCCAAAAGCTTCAACGCCTCAATCAAGTAAACCATTTGGGTGGTTGTGAAAATTGGGGTCCCTTTTTGGGTACCCTAAATATTATAGGTGCCGTATTATAATAGGGACCCAAAAAAGGGATCCTAATTTTGACAACCACCCATTTGATTGATGCTTAGTTTAATACAGCCCTCCGGCCTGTCGTACTCGACAGCTTCTGAAGCCCCAAAACTCTTTCTGAACCACAAGAAACCCTAGGCTAGGCCCAGAACGAACCCTGTTCAGCACCCTAAAAGAACCCGCTGTCTAGAACCCCCAAAAAGCCCGTTGTAAACCCACTTACAAGTACCCAATCCTAAAAACCTAAACCCCTAAACCCCTGAACTCAACCCAGCAAACCCTAAATCCTAAACCCTAAACCCCTAACCCTAAACCCTAAACCCTAAACTCTAAACCCAAAACCCTAAACCCTAAACCCCTCCACCAGGCCTGTGGTCATACCTTTGCCCACGCTCCGCCTTGACCTGCTCGACCTTCGGTTTCGGGTTGTTTTTTTTTTTTTTAAATGCAATGGCCCTTTCTCCGCAGTACGGGTCTCAGAACCTGCCTCAAGAGGAGGGTTGTTTAGGGCTTTAGGCTTTAGGGTTTAGGGGTTTAGGGTTTAGGGGTTTAAGGTTTAGGGCTCACAGGGCTTCAAGCATAGGGTTTAAGGATTCCGGGCTCAGAGTTTCGGAATGTTTGTAGGCTTAGGGTTTAGCTTAGGGCTTTCGGGTTTAGAGGTTAGAGCGCAAAGGTTTCAGGGTTTGGCTAGACCCTAAATGGCAGCAACCTTTGGTGCTTAAGCTAATTATCTAATTGGAATCAGAGGGTCTTCAAATGACTTGATGGTTGTTTGATGTCTGCTTTGCGGATTTGACGCCGGAAAGTGTGAAGGTTCTGCTTGGGTGGGATCGGTCGATGATCTAAATCCTGCATGACCCATAATAAGGAATATACCATTATGCCCATAGTTTAGGGTCCTTAAGGTAATGCAGGATTTATATCATCAATAGGAAGGTCAGGGCTTATAGGGGCCTTCGGCGGCTCTTTCGGGTGTTGCGAGAGGCTTCCCACCCGTCAAGTCAACAGGAAGCAGAAGTCTTTACTGAACTTAGAACCCTAGCAAAAGTTATGATTTTAGCTGTTTCTTAAGGATCACAATAACCAAAAATTAAAAACTATTTTTACCCTAAGGAACCGTGCAGGCCCACGAAAAAAAAGGCTGGCGCCCAAATCAACCCTGAGGCGAACAGCAAACATCGCTGAGCAGGTTTTGATGGGAGGCCGAAACAGGGGTTTAAGATTCTAAGGGTAGGGATTCCTTAATTTGAAACCTATTATGGGAACCCTAATCCCTACTAAATCTCCATAGGCTAAAACCCCTTTTGGCCTCCTATGAGGCTGTGGGCGGCATCGAGACTTGTGTCTCCTTCTTGCGCAAAATCTTCTGGAACGTGTCAGGCTGTCTTCGCCCAGTAGAAGCTGTAGAAAGCAACCAAATTTACCCTGACGAGGATGAAAACCCAGCACATCACTGCTCACCACGTGTCTACACAAAAATGCCGCGAAGTGAAACTTCGAAGACTGCTTGGTAGTTGGATGCCCTCCAAGCGCTGGTTGCAGTCGAAACCAAACGCCAAACTCTGCAGGCTGCTCGGTAGTTGGATGCCAGCCAAGCTCTGGTTGAACTCCTTGCCAAACGTCAAACTCTGCAGGCTGCTGGGTAATTGGATGCCATCCAAGCTCTGGTCGAACATGTAGCCAAACGTCAAACTCTGCAGGCTGCTGGGCAGTTGGACGCCCTCCAAGCTCTGGTTGAACTGGCTGCCAAACGTCAAACTCTGCAGGCTGCTGGGCAGCTGGACGCCCTCCAAGCTCTGGTTGAACTTGCTGCCAAACGTCAAACTCTGCAAGCTGCTGGGTAGCTGGACGCCCTCCAAGCTCTGGTTGAACTGGCCGCCAAACGTCAAACTCTGCAGGCTGTTCGGTAGCTGGATGCCAGCCAAGCTCTGGTTGAAGTCCTCGCCAAACGTCAAACTCTGCAGGCTGCTGGGTAATTGAATGCCATCCAAGCGCTGGTTGAAACGATGGCTACATGTCAAACTCTGCAGGCTGCTGGGTAGCTGGACGCCCTCCAAGCTCTGGTTGAACTGGCCGTCAAACGTCAAACTCTGCAGGCTGCTTGGTAATTGGAAGCCATCCAAGCTCTGGTTGAACTGGTAGCCAAACGTCAAGCTCTGCAGGCTGCTGGGTAGTTGGATGCCCTGCAAGCTCTTGTTGAATCCGAAGCCGAACGTCAAACTCTGCAGGCTTCTGGGTAGTTGGATGCCCTCCAAGCTCTGGTGAAACGCGTCGCCAAACGTCAAACTCTGCAGACTGCTACCAAAGGTCAAACTCTGCAGGCTGCCCTGTAGTTGGAGGCATTCCAACCTCTCGACCGTCAAATGCCGCAGGCTGCTGGGTAGTTGGATGCCATCCAAGCACTGGTCGAAGTCGAAGCCAAACGCTACACTCTGCAGGCTGCTCGGTAGTTGGATGCCAGCCAGGCTCTGCTTGAACTGCTCGCAAAACGTCAAACTTTGCAGGCTGCTGGGTAATTGGATGCCATACAGGCTCTGGTTGAACCTTTGACCAAACGTCAAACTCTGCAGGCTGCTGGGTAGTTGGATGCCCTCCAGGCTCTGGTTGAACATGTAGCCAAACGTCAAACTCTGCAGGCTGCTGGGTAGCTGGACGCCCTCCAAGCTCTGGTTGAACTGGATGCCAAACGTCAAACTCTGCAGGCTGCTGGGTAGCTGGACGCCCTCCAAGCTCTGGTTGAACTGGCTGCCAAACGTCAAACTTTGCAAGCTGCTGGGTAGCTGGACGCCCTCCAAGCTCTGGTTGAACTGGCCGCCAAACGTCAAACTCTGCAGGCTGCTCGGTAGTTGGATGCCAGCCAAGCTCTGGTTGAAGTCCTCGCCAAACGTCAAACTCTGCAGGCTGCTTGGTAATTGGAAGCCATCCAAGCGCTGGTTGAAACGATGGCCACAGGTCAAACTCTGCAGGCTGCTAGGTAGTTGGATGCCCTCCAAGCTCTGGTTGAACTGGTAGCCAAACGTCAAACTCCGCAGGCTGCTGGGTAGTTGGATGCCCTCCAAGCTCTGGTTGAAACGGAAGCCAAAGGCGAGTGACATCGTTTCGTTCAGGGCAGCTACATCAGACAGAGTCTTCTCCTCGAGTAGGTGCTCCCAAAGCATTGTGACACGACCCGCGCCAAGCTTCCGTACGACGTACCAGATCTCGTCATTCTGGACTTGACGCAGCAGCGGCTGCCACTGATCGATACAACAACCACCGGATGTCAGCACAAGTAACCCTGCTGGCTGGCCAACTCTCGCTGCGATGCGTTCCGCTGCTTCCCACCCCGTTTGGGCAGTATCTACCTCCAGCTCAAAGCTGGAACCTGCCAAGCAATGAACGCTCACGGTCCGCTTGGCCCTGTCTTCACTGGACTCTGCAGGCCACGGGACGCTCAAGATCTGCTTCATGACGCCTTCGGACACATGTAATCGGCCATGCCTTTGGCTGATTTTATTAAGCCCGGTAGTTCGCAAGTTTAGCGTTTTTGGGTTTGGGTTTCAGGGTTTAGGATTTAGGGCTTCAGGGTTCAATGGATTGCAAACGGTCTGTCAGTGTTCAGGCTAGAGTTACTCTCCGCTCCCCGGGATCCCATCTACAACGAGGATACCCTGCTTCTGTTTTGTGCAGTTGCAAAACCCGTAGAAGAGCGCTCCTCTTTGAGATTACACCCTAAGGGTCCATGTACCTAAATAGTTAATACATGGGCCTTAAAGTACTCCCTATATGGGTACATTGGGCCCAAAGTATATACTATTAGGGTACATGGACCCTCAAGGCAAGCAATGTCACACTTTGGGCCCAATGTACCCATATAGGGAGTACTTTAAGGCCCACGTATTAACTATTTGGGTACATGGACCCTTAAGGTTACATTTCGGGGCTAAGGGATTGCAGGACCTCGGTTCGAGGGTTCGGGGTTTGTTAGAGCTGGGCTTACTTGGAGGATCATGGGGCTTAGTAAGTAGGGTTCCTTAAAGGGTTCCTTAAAAAGGATCTATAAAGGGTACCATAAGGGTTTAGGGTTTAAGGATCATGGG